TAACCGTGCAGCTAATCATTGGTGGAGACCAGTTATACTCTGTTGAGTGTGGTTTATGGTTAGAAAGATTTAATTTTCAGCTCCAGTTCTGAATTGTTACCAAAAACTAGTCACTCTTTTGCTGTTGACCTTCTTTGGAAAGTGACTTTGTACTCTGACCTGTAACTGTAGACTTCGCAATAGAAACTAGCTTTACTGTGCAGTAAACACCAGGATGTGTTCTTTGCAGCTCCTGAAGTTTAAAATTGATTTCCCAGCTCTTTTGTTCACTTTCCAAGTCCTTGGGCCTTAGCTTCGTCCACCCTAAAGAGTTGCGGTTTCTGTGTGCTGTTTTTAGACATGGCAAAACAGCTGATTACACTGGGGCTTCTGAAATGTCCATTCGGACAACAGCTGTGTTTCTCCATCGTTGCCTGAGTTGTGGAACTCAACCACAGTAAAAGATCAGATTGTTTCTTGGACGTTATTTCACGGCAAACTTGTTCAAATGGGGCATTTCACAGTGATGCGTGCAACTGGTCCCAACACATGTTCTGCGTTGTGTGCATAACCCTGTGGAAGAGTCTGTTGCATTGTATTAAAATGTTTTCTTCCTGCTGACATGACAGAATTCTAATTGGTTAAAGATAGGGAGGAAGTAAGTGATGCACAATGAGCTTCATCCCTGAAATGACCTCCCTGTTTCCTTCATTGAGCACAAGGCAAGCGCTATTTCACTTGTCTGATTCCTTGCAGCGAAGGACTGATTTAGCTGCCCGGTGTTAAACTCATCTGGGCCGTGCCCTGCAGCTTTTGTTTTTGTCTCCCTGTGCTGTTGATCTCCCATCCTTCATAAACGGCAAATCTCATCCGCAAAATAACAGAAGGAAAAAAAGGGAATTTGACTGGTATCAAAGACCACTTCTGAGGGATGTCAGCATCGGATGTAATAATAGAGGAAGCAAGTGGCTACTTGTAATTTCCTTGATATAACCTCTCCACCAACTCCCTGTGTGTGCTTATTTAAAGCAACACTTGAGAGAGCAACAGCACCAGAGTGAATTCCAGAAGTCATTTGGAAACTACAGTACTTCCACCTCCCAAGTCATATAAACTGAATGGATGGGGAGATGACATCTCCCAGCATAATACATAACGGGTCATCATGGAAGCCACATCAAGGCAGTGTCATAAACCCCAGCTTTTCATCGGCACCCAAAGATTCTAATTGTACAAAGATGTGGTTGTTTGGGGCTGGCTGACATTGCACTGTAGCCACATGTTACAGCATCTTGATATTTACAACGCCAAGTGTCTTTCACTGTATTGTCCTATAGGTGGCTGGTCAATATCATGGAATTGTCCTCTGGGCACCCAGGAACAGGAGCTCTGAAGAACTGAATCACGGTCACAGACTGCCCTGCACTGGCCCACTCGGTTCAAAAGCAGAAGGAATGCCAGAGATCTATACTTCAAAATGAATGGATCACATGCCATCCAAGCAGTACACTGGCTTAGGAATCAATTGAAATTGAGCTCCAGAACATAGAAAATGTAAAGGAATCACCGTATGTGAGAAAAACAAGGGAACTGAGGCATCATGAACGAAGTGTATTGTGTTGTTTTTAGCGGTGGCGAAAAAGCTATAAAACTTTAACATAATGCAGGTGGAGAAGACACCATGGGTTTTATTATTACGATAGTAAACATTTAGCTCGGCAGAGTTCAACTGTGTGACGTGCATAATCTAGTGTACAGTAACCTAAGGTTTTGCAGAAAGTGTTTTTCATTGTCTGGAATTTTAGAAGTCATTCTGTTGCTGTTTTATTGCTTTACCCTCAACAGCTGAGGCTCAGAGCAGAATGACACTGGCCAGCTCATTACAGAACATCACTGTCACTCCTTCAGCTGGAGCTCATCACAGAGGTCCCAGCACCTTGTGTTCTCAGCTGACGTCTAACACAGATGAAAAGAAAGAGATGGTTTTTCATGGTGGCCTGTTCTGATTCTGCTTGTCTATGTTGTTTTACTGGCCTCACTGTGAAGAGTAAATCTCTATTGATTTTAAAGCAATGCTAGCTGTAAATTACTGCCCATGACACACTTTGTCATATTGGAACAGGGAAGTGTATTGATCTGAATACAGCCCTACTCGGGGGATCCAAAATCTAATTAGTGAACCAGGGGGGAAAAATCCATACAAAGCACAGGAGTAAAAAAGCAAAGACTATAGCTTAATACAAAGGGATTTTAACATTAGTAGGTTTATTTTTAGCATCTATTTCATTTCATTTTAGTAGTTTACAATAAAACATTCCAGATAAAAAGTACAACATAAGTGGTATAGAAACTATAAAATAATCAGCAAGCTAGAAAAATAGATGAGAAGATTTAAAAAATGAATTAAGAACTCAACACTTTAATTCATAGGTAAAATGGACTTGATTGTGTGTTAATCACCATACTGTTGTGTAACCTGTGCATTTCAATGTTTTTGATAATGCAGTTGTTCTGAACAGACTAGCTCTTTTGAGAGCTCTGTCAATTTGAAAGCCTTTGCAACAGTGAGTCCATTTAAGCAGTGTCTCAGTCCCGAACATATAGCACTCAATCATTCTGTAATTGTATCATCTTATTATGTGCTGCACAGAATCATTATTGTGTGGTTAGTTAAATTATTGCTTGATGGATCGTCTGAATGGTACATTTTGTATCACACAACTGTTAATTGGCTGCAGTCCCCCGGGAATCACTCTGAATAAGAATGTAACGGGCTCTCTCATCGAGTGAGGTTATGAAATACTGAGTCACTGATATTTCACATGGCCAGAGACCACGTTGATAGAATTCACAAGACAGTGGCAGAGTCCTGTTATTCTTCATACTGTTATTTTTTCTTAAAACAGTTAAGGATCTCCAGTTATTATGGTATATATAGTATGATACTCCCTATCCACATACATACCTCTGATAGTCTGGAATTGCTCATTGTAAAACAGTGCAGATTTCCTATTACAGTCCAGCTTGAGATGGATAATATCCATACCTACAGTACTTTCCTCTGAAACATGTACTGAGCCATCTCACGTTTATCTTATTGTAAGACCTTACACTCAAGAGAGGGTTCTCACTAACAGCATTGCCATCTCACTGGCAGGTTACAGGGCTCAGTGTTGAGCTAACACATCTGTCTGAATCAGGGGGTCTCCAATCCAGATAATCCTGTTATTCTTATAGGTCAAAATAAAGCTGTTTGTGTTCCTTCAAACTCATTTAAGCAATTGAACAATTAATCAATTAATCAAATTGGACACTGGTTTTTAAGGGCTGAAGGATATCTTCATTTTCATTCCAGCTGAAATCCTGAAAACCTAATTGAACCCACCACCTGTTCCTGTGATCAATCAAATTGTTCCAGGCTTTTAAATACTGATGATTATGAAGCCCGTCTGGACTATGGCCCCAAATGAAGTCCATCCAGCTCCATGGGTACTTCACCAGCTGTGCTCCATTCCTTAAGATATTGTAGGTCTTACTCAGGCACCACTGCAAGGTTACATTCCTGCACAGATTGTAATTGAACAGAAAACCAACTTCAGACACAAGATAGGACTGGAGGACCTTAGCATACCTCTTCCACAGCAAAGAAAAGTCTCAATGAGGGACCTCCAACCCCCTAGCAGGCCACGATATAGTTAATATTATAGGTTGCCTGAAATTACCTCTTAATGATTGTGAGCACCTGCAAGTTATTGTTCCATTAAACAAGTAATTTATTTAATCAAGGAAACTCTGGTTCTTGACGGAAGGAGAGTGATAAGGTTTTTGTTCTAAATAGTCTGTACGTACTTAATTTAACAAATCGCCTGCATAACTGGTCGAACACAAATAAATTGTTCCAAGTCTTAATTGATGATTCAAAGGCTTCCCATTAAATCTGCTGGATAAGAAGGCAGAATTTTACGCTGCACGTCTGAAGGTTTTATTTTGCCCTCATTTTGCTGTAAAAGAGCAATTTTCTCTGAAGGTATGGGATTACATAGGGGGTATTATTTCAGAGTTCATATATACAAATTTTGCATGGAAAACCATGAATGAGGAGAGAGACAAAGGGACATGTAGCCATGTTTGCAGTATGGGGGGCTGGTGGCTTTAAGATCTGGGTTTTCTGTAGCAGTTCCTCTATGTAGCCCTGTCCCCCCGGATCACTATTTGGTGTGCTACACATGAAAAAGCAGCTTTCGGAATCCCACCGGTCTCATATTAATGAGCCTTCAATCTTAAACAGCTTTCTCAGCTGAAAGCTCCAAATTTAAATAATAAATCATCTGGGGCTGAGTGACCGGTGGAAAAGTGATTGTGACTCATTCTAAAGTCATTTCCTTCACATTAAAGCTGATGCTATTAAAATAAAAAGCCTATTTGCAGCCTTTGTAAGCATGAAGGTATATATTAAAAAACTAGCCTCTACACTTTGTCATTTAAAACATTCTGTAGAGATTTCGATGCATAAAGGCCTCTGTGTTTTTCAGTACTTCAACAGACAATACAGTGTTTTCTTGTTTGCTTTTGTTAGGCGCCTGGACTGGTAGAAACATATCCAATTCCAAATGTACTGTGTTATCTCTGAAGTCAGTTCAATTATATAATTTAAAGTGCAGCGCCTACCTTCTCCTAAATGTGTATTTGACTCTTAAGGTCTACCAGTGTAACAATGGTGAACCACTGCCCTCAAGTGTGAGAAACTGGTGTTGCATAGTTTGAGATACTACACATCTCATGCCTATTCAATCATTATAACTAAAGCATTACTACAAAAGTAGCTTTGTAGTCAGTCCACTTATGTTGACAAGCACTCCAAAAAGGTGTTCCAGATAAATAAACAATAAAAACAGTGTTTTATGGCCATCTACTATCTACCCACTTGAGATTTAATGCTAACCCAAAACAAAATATTAATAATAATTATTGAAAAAGAAAAAATATTCTCCTGGAAGACGTACAAAATATTCATTTTCAGATATATTTCAATAAAGGTATTTATTTTATTCCAGTTTCAATAAAACTATTTTATTATTGGAATGGAAAAAACAGATTAGAAAACGATTACAGATCTGAATATTAAATATAGCTAACTGAAGGGCAAAAGGAGATTAAAAATAGTTGGACTATTTTGAATATTTGCCATCTAACATTTCAGTGTAGGTGTGAAATATGAGTTTCAAACAAACTTTGCCAAGACTAAATACTAATTCATGGTGGTTCAGAGCTACTTTTGCTCTTGAAGAAAAAAGCTTAAAGCTATTCTGTCTTTATAAAGTTCAAAGCTATTGCTTGCCACAGTCAACATAATGGTAGCTGTGGCCACGTAAAACTGTACTATTCTGTAAGATCATATTAAACTTTATTATCCATAATATTAATCTATAGGATTCTTTTCAGCATTGCTAAAATAGTCATTCTCATGAACTTACGTCTTGTTTTTCTGTGTTAAATTAAAGAATACAACACTGTCTAGAGGAGATCAATTTAAAGATAAACACCTAAAACATGCTGCACTTATTAATGACCTCTTCTTCCACTGTTTCCTACTTAATGCTGGGATATAACAAGGCTTTCAGGCAAATGTGACACTTAAAACGTATTACCTTATACTGTCTCTCCTAATCTTTTCCAACTGCATATTCGTTTGACCACAGCAATTTAGTTCACAGGTTTATTCTAGCTTGTCCCTTCCACAGCTCACCTTTGATCTGCAGACACCTTCATTTTAATGTTTGATGTATGATGAGTAAGATGTTTCTGTCTGGAACACCTGGTAGTGCGCTATGGACAAATATCAATGAGCGCTGAATTCTTCCAAAAAAACTAACAACATTGGACACTGGAAGCCCCAGAGTTATACGAACACTGCAACAGTCTACTACAACAATGAAATGCAGAATATAAGAGGAGTAATATCAAGCCATTATCAGAAAACAGCTTGTTACTAGAAAGGGTCACAGGAATACAGGGACTTTCCCCAGAACAAGGTGGAAATACATCCTGGATGGGATGCAAGTACACTCCACAAACACAGGCACAGTTTAGTATTAACTAACAACTGGCCAGCGTGTCTGTGGTACAGTAAGTAGGTGGGAGGACAAAGCACCAACTGAAAACCCACACAAAATATCCAAACTCCCAATGTAAATTACAACACACAAAACATCTGAACAACCAAAGCATATTATGTAGTACTATCTGAACATTTAATATGAAAGTATCAAATGTGGACACTTGATAATAAGGTTCAATAAGAAACACAAACTCACAGTTGATTAATGGTTGATATCATAGTGGTAAATATGTATACAAATAAGTGTTACTGACAAAACTGAGTGTATGTGAAATGTTACAGAGATTAGACAACAAAGCCGAGGGCTTGATGTTCAAGCACATCAATCCTAAAATAAACAGTGGTTAAATATGACAACATATGTTATATGAAGAGAACATGAGTAGATATTAATAACTACTCTACTGACAGTTAATATACTATGTATTCATTATGTACAAAGTTTTAATAAAGTATTAATAAATGGTTTATTATTGAACCTTATTATAAAGCAGAGAGTAGAAACTAATCTGATGATAACTAAACACAGTATGGACTAGTAAATGATAATCATTTAGAATGTAAAATTGAAATGTAGTTGTCTCCCTGTCAGCCTGACTAGTTCCTCTTTTATTTCTTTACTTTTGAAACTTGCACAGAAGATCATACAAGATCGTGCATCTCCAGATTCACCATGTAGAAACTCTGTAACTACTGCAGAGTTCCAGGTGTTCAAAATCACTGTCGGAAAATGGAATCACTGCAGTATATGGGTTATGTCTCCAAAAATGTTTCAATCCTGTACATAGATTCTGAAACAAAAATATCATTTTACAATAATAACTCACTGTTTTTACATAGTGTGGTCATTAAATAGTCATGACAACATATCCTTTCTTCTTTATAGAATTTGATGCTTTGGTTTCAGTCACGAAGTTCAAATATCTGAACATTGTATTAAATGTATAATTTTCAAGTGATGATTTAACCAACTTTCTGACCGGATTTGGTCAATGTCTATATTCCAAAACTTTATTCAAGGTAAAAGCTTTTCAAATAATTAAATCTTCAGGAAATGAGTAGCAGGTTTTGAATGCTATGCTTGCTTGAAGCAGCCTGTCATATTGTTTTCAGAAGTGAACCCTTCATAATCATAAGGCGAAATCATGCTTGTCCCTTTCATGCTGATTAAAGGGTGTATTTTGCCCAGTGAGGGAAGCTTTTTCAGGAATCTTGGAAAGAGAGAGTGACTGAGTGGAACTGGGTTGGCTTTCTCCAGACAGGTCGTCCACTGTGGCCAGTTCATCACGTGGTAACAATGACGTCTTCAGCCGCTGAGAAAAGACAAGTTATGAGAAATTGTTACACCCTAAAATGACTCAAAAAATTACTCATCTCTTAACAGCTAGGCTCTATGATCAGCTAGTCTCTTGGAGTTTCTAAAATCCTTCTTGTTATTCATCATCATCCTTTAACCAACCACATGGAAATATTATTTATTATAGCACTTAAATACATATATATGCTAGACACTCCAGATGCTGAGGATCGATTTCAAAGCTGCTGTCAGATTTGAAATTTATCATGGCCCATTTGATGATGTACTGTAAGGTTGGGAAATTAACATTTGCACTTTGAAAGACAAGATGAACAGGATAAATACAAAATAGGTCATAAAGGCCTACAACTGAGCAAGGCAGTTGTATTGCAATGCTGTGTATTAAAGTTCTTATACTGAGCATCAGAAGAAATTTAGCACTAATACTATTTCATAAAGTTCTTCTCAAGATAATGTCAAAATCACCTGTAGGGGGTGCACTGACATTTTATGAAAGACATGGCATACAGTATGTAACTTTATTGCGCTGATTAGCGTTTCTTATTAAGATAAGCTCTGTGCTCCAGGTTGCAGATATTATCTTGTAGGATTCTCTTCCATTCCTATCAGAAACTCTGAACAAGCATGTGCCTGTTCACTAGTCTCTGAGCCCTGGGTGCAACACATTGCCCCAGCTCATCCCACAGATGTTCAATGGGGCTCAATACTGGCAAGTATGGCATAGTATGGCATTTTGTATCACAAGATAGCTGTAGTCACATGGGCAGTTTGTGGACATGCATTTTCCTGCTGGAATGTTGTCACGTCAGGATGAGCCTGCAGGAAAGACCTAATGTGAGTTACCAGGACTTAATGAAGAACCATGCAGTCAGGTAACCATCAATCACTACAAGAGGAGTTCTGTAGTGACTAGACACTCCTGCTCGAACCATCACACTTAGACCTCCCCTTCAATTGATTTGTTATTGTATCATTCTCTGCATTTGGGCTGCTCTTGCTGGCATCCATTGAAGTGATCCACCCAAAACCTTCATTTGTCTCAAAGGGGGACTTGGCTTCACTGGTGAGTTTTTCTCTTGGTAAGTGGGGAATATTGGTTCCTTGCTGCATTTTTTTTTCTTGATGTTCACCAGTATTGACATTCAACAGTTTAAATCAACTTGTCCCCTGTGACCACTCAGCTCTCTTGCTAATCAGGTAGATTAGTACTGACACCTCAGTCAAAATCGTTCGAGAGTAACGTGGTCGATTATGGATAATCAGTTAATCCAGATGACACCGAAACTATTGCAAAATCCATATACTTTATATTTCTAAAAATATACATGAATGAAAAAGAGTGCTAGGATTCTGCTGAGGCTCAGCATATGAAAGGGACATGTTATCCATTTCCACTCATTCTTGGATACTCTAGGCACTGCTGCTACATGTATTAATTGTGTTGCCTGTCGCACCTGTAGGAGTGTTCCCTCGCTGTAATAGATTGTGTGCAAAGCTCCAAGCGGAATCCACACAATGGAGATTAGAGAAATAAACCAGCCCAGAACTTCAGCCCACACGGGGTAGGTGTAGGTCTTCCCATAGCGAGCTGGAGTGTACTGGACAACACTGGAGATAAAAATACACTGCAAGGCAAAAAAGATCACGTCAGCAATGTTCAGCCACTTGTCTGTAAGCATGAGGCTGCAGAGGACTCCCAGAGAGATGAATTTCTGATCATTAATAGGAAAGAAAATATACTATACATCTGATAACATGAAAAATCAGAGAGGAGGCAAATACTTTTTCACAGCATTGTAGGCTGTATAAAATGAAAAACACAAACTAAATATACAGACCCAATGGTAGTGTATTTTAGGATCATTCATTTAATAACAGTTACAAAAGCAGAATGGGTGAATGATCCCTTTGTGAAATAATTTGTGACCTGCTTTCTGCATTTGCTTCAATTGGCAGTTCCCAACCCCGTCCCTAGGGGACTTCTCATGCTGAGTTCTTAACCTCCACCTCGTTTTCTAGCTAAGAAAAAAAGAATAACAAAATGCTTCAGAAGAGACGATACACACCATGACCAGCAAGGGAGAGAACACCAGCCAGCACACCTTGAAGAAGACACTGGGAGGCCTGCCTATCATTCTTGTCACCATCTTGGAAATTCTTCCTGCTCCTGCAATGCAGACCAACAAGTGTCAGGCCCCTACAGAGGAAGCAGTTAATTAGGCAAATGAGCGTAAGTTCAGGTGAAGAAGAGAACAGGCTGTTTAACCTGTCCAAGCTCTCAGCATAAAACAAAGTCCTAATGAACAAGTTAGTGAACAACACTTTTTTGATAAAAAGAAACAGAACTATTTTTCTGAAGAGAGGATACGACCGCTATTTACCGAAGACCCAGCACACGGCCACCACCTCAAAGAAAGCCATGAACATGAGTGACACCACAGCAGTGTAGTGATCCATCAGCTGGAAGACGAATATTCCTCCCTGCAGAAAAACGGACAACGCTGTCAGCAGGCCAGGCCTCCAGAGCCTCCATTTCATCACACTGTCCTTGTTCAAATCAGAACTTAACCTCTTAGCACAGACACTGATTCAATCACTGATTATAAACACGGAGCCTGATGCTGAAGTTCTGGATTTCGGAAGATTCCAATTCAGCTGGCGGGTTAATGTTTTGATAGGCGTAATATTAGCCACAGATTAACACCAGGTACAATGTGTTAATATGCATTTGCATTCCATAAACAAACTTGTGTCATTTCTTAGAAGAAAAATAAGTATTCCATCAGATATGGTACTCAAGGAAGCAAATTAGTTGTAGTTTCTACAGGAGAACAGCTGAATTTGGGTAAGGCAGGTATGAGACTTGGATTAAAGGCAAACAACTTGATACAGTACCGTAGAAGAGGTTAAAGCTTTTAATCCTTCCAACTCACCTGAGTAATATTAGGAATTCCAACAATGAAGCCAACAGCACACACTGCTAATACAACAATTTCCTTTCTTTTCAAGTATTTGAGAAGCTTCAGGCCAAAACCATCCATAATGCATGTCACGATGACTTCCACCATCCCAAACTATAAAGAATGAAATGTGAATGAGTTTCACAAGGAATGAAACACTTCTGTTGGCATTTCTTGTTGAGGCCTGTACAGGCCCTCTAAGGGCCACGTCTCATTGTGTTAAATTTATGCTTTGTTGGATGTCTGCATTTGATATCTACATTAAGCTCTGTTTTCTTTGCATGGCCTCACGCCTCAGGTGTTTTCACAAGAAGACAGCGGCGTGTAAATGACTCCCATCCCCAAGCTCAGAGACCGAGCCACAGTCTGTGCAGCTGTGCAGCTTTCATACTGGATGGGGCAGCTCCTCAACACAGCATTCACTGAATTGACTGAGAATCTAATCTTGGTTTATTTCTCAGCTCACTTGATAAGTAATTATATGCTTCCTCTTCCTGACGGAAATATAATAAGATGATTATCGGTGTTGTTTTTTTACGTTTTCCCACAATATTTGAAGCCGTAGTAAGATGTAAATTAGTCAAAGAGCCAAAATTCTGTTTAGGAGGAAGGGTGATCTTAAATCTTTCACTTTCTGTTGGTCACATTATGCTCAATTCAGAAATACAATCTAGTGCAATTAGTTATATTCATGTGTACCTATTAATTATGCTCAGAGTGAAAAAGAAACTAAGGCTGCATTAATTAAAATCCTGGAATATTGTTGCAAAGCCATCCACCATTCTAAAATGATGGAAATCTCCAACCTGATATAAAGAAATAATGCTGTTTGGAGTAAATGGTGCTTGGAACACTTCAATGAAGTTCATAGTCAGATGCTGTGTTTGAATCTTGTACAATGAACTGAATGTCCCCCTTCCAGACCAGTGAATGTATGGTAATTGAGCAGTGACTAATTAGTCTCATTCCCAAAGCCTTGCTGGTTTTTACAGTGGCGGAAACAAAGACCAGGCGCAACTCTAACTCCTTCCTCTTACCTGGCTGTCCAGACCCAGGCAGAGCAGCATGAGAAAAAACAGACAGGCCCACAGCTGAGCCACAGGCATGGTGGAGAGGATCTCTGGATACACAACAAACACTAAGCCAGGGCCTAGGACAGGAAGGACAATGGTACCACACACTCAGCACACCAGGAAAGATCCAGGATTGTTTCATACTCAAAATCTAAAAAAAAAAACACACCAGCAGAATACTATCCCAACTGCTAAATGTATTTGAGAGCCCTCACTGAAAGTGCACCATTTAATATCTTTGCAAACAATAGCAGGAAAATAAAATGGCTGGGTAAACTTTAATTAGTATAGAATTATAAATCTAATAAAAACCACAGACCCAATTTCCTGTGACATATGAAAATCAATAAAGGGTGATCTGTGTGCAGAATCATATTAAATAAGTAATTTAAAAGCCTGGTGCTTCTTCCACTGCAAACTCCTGTTTGTGTCCACTGAAGAGTATTGTTCATTTCCCGCCTCACAGCAGTATAGTTACCATCTGTGGCTATGTCGTCCACAGGCAGGTTGTGTACATGAGCCATGTAGCCGATAGCTGAAAAAACCACAAACCCAGCAAAGATACTGGTAGCAGAATTGGCCATTGAGACAATTAACGTGTCCCTGAAATGGAGAAAATCAAAATAGGTTAAAGGGCAAGGCACAACAAATACGATTAGAAAGTAGTTTCTGGGAGAATTGTTGAAATGAAACATTTACAAGTTCACAAACATCAATACAGAATGTCTGCTAATGTATTTGTGTAGCTCTTGTATGTACATTACCCTAGATAAGGACATTGGTTAATAATTAATATATAAATTGTGAGAGAATAATACAGATTCATGTCGAAACTACTTGTGCTGTATCCTTACATAAGAGCATAAACTATTCATCCATTAACCACTTCATCCACTTCAGGGTCTCAGGGGGTGCAAGACAGGGTACCCCCTGGGCAGGACACCAGTCAGCCACAATGCAGACACAAAAACAGAGATGCACACACTGACACCAAGGCCAATTTTTCCAGAAGCCAATTTAACCTACCAGTATGTCTTTGGATAGTGGGAGGAAACCGGAGCACCTAGAGCAAACCCACACAAACAGGGAAAACAAACGCCACACAGATAGTATCCCCAGTGCAGAATTGAACCCAGGGCCACAGTTTTACAAGGCAGAAAATGCTAACCACCATGCACCCCACTTGTAGCTATATTCCTGAAACAGCCATAAAAATCCAATCATATTTTATTATTATTTTTTATCATTATTTAGTTATTTTTTCTGGAATTCATAACTATGAAAAACAAAGGGCATTATCCTTCCAATTGCGATCCACTTTATCCAATACATGCTCAGAGGGTATTATGGTTTCAATTAAAACAAAATTGTTAGATTTTTCTGAATTGGTGATGTACAGTAATAACACATCCATACAGGACTACATGATAATCAGGTCACTGATGGCTTGGATGTACACACGCTGTTTCAGAATCTACCAACTCTACAAAACGGTTGTGTAGAATAAAGTCAAAACTAATTGAACAAGGCAAAAGAGGGCAACACAGAGATCATATAATCAAGCAATAAAAACCATTATATCTCTGAAAGAGAGAATTTTCCATCAAGAGCACCCAAAAGCCCTTTATATATAAGTAAATATGTAGCTGGGAAAAGCAAAATTTTCTTTTTAGTAACATTTTTCCAGAATTATACCAATAAGTACTTTGAAACTAGATTTCATATACTGTTTTCACTGTAGAAATTGCTTTCTATGAGGAAAAAAGGTTTGTTTTTTTAATTAAAAGGGCAGAACGTATAGTAGCTGTTTTAAGACTGAACTACCACTGAGTATAATATGAATTAAACCCATTGGATATTCATTTGACATTCAGATCAGACTCAGAAGTCTATCTTACCTGAGAATGTTGTTGTTAAATTTGTTGTAGCTTGCCAAGGATATCATTGAACCGTAGCCAATGCCAATGGAGTTGAAGATCTGAGCTGCAGCATTCACCCACACCTGTGGAAAGGTCAATCAACACTGCTTGGTTCTGTAATCTACGCCAAGAGTAGGTATGACTGCCACGCAACACCAATGTTATTTTACTTTCTAATGTTACTACAATACCACACAAGGCCATTAAGGATCTTTTCTATTGGTTGCTAATGAAAAAATACTACTGCGAGACCAGACAGTTTTGTTTTCTACACACAAAAAACTGGTGCTTCTCCTCTAACAGCCAATAGGAATTTCAGGTGTTGTCACTTTATGCCCCCAAATGGAGAAAACAAAGTTTCATCAATATTATGGAAGCTTGCATTGGACGGTGTTTTCAAACCCGAAGTCATAGCGGGTCCTCTAACTAGCAAGTGCTCTCCCGTGCACAGGGGTAAATTCAAAATGACATCATGCAAATCTCAGGCTATTGCTTATGATGCCATATAATTCCTGTGCTTTTCCATTAATCGTTAATCAGGATCTTTTCAGCCATTGTTATGACACATTGCCATTGTACTGTGTTTAACCTCACTGTCCTTATCCTCACCTGAACTTCCAGCAGCTTGCTCCAGACAGGAGTGACAAAGTACAGGATTCCAGTCTTGGCTCCAGGCAGCTGCACGTTGTTGATGAGTAAGGCCAAGAGTATGACATAAGGGAACGTGACAGTGAAGTACACCACCTGGAGAAAGAGACGAGCAAAAGAAAGCCATTTATTTATCCATCCGTAACTACATGTTTCAACCACAAGCTTAACCTCTGGCAGGGTGGAAAAAAAAAACAATGCCACTCGCATTCACACAGGACTGAGGCTTTGACAGCCTTTCCTGAGAGCAGAGTGCCACACCATCTCCAACACTGATTGGGGTTAAAAAAAATTGGCAAAAAGATGTAATTGAGGTCCAACTGAATCACATAGCAATGCCGAATGTTTGATACAAACAAGGCTGGCTCTAACCCCTGTGAATGAGAGAACTGTAATGTGTTATGAAGTAATGTCATCCGTCTACATACAAAGCTCCATGCAGAAACCCTATTCCTTTTAGGTATTGACATAGTAATGTGCTATGCCATTTGCCATTAGTGAGCGTAACCATTCATAATGTTTAAAAATGGCACAGGCAGCATATCCATCCATATACCTTGACATTTAGAGAAAGTATATGACACAATACAATGTGTGCCTAGATGCCAAGTCCAGCTTTCAAATTGGAAGGGTTGTAGAAAGGTCATGATGTTTCACCTTAATGCTGTTTAAAATTTCTCAGCAAGGATGACTCCTCTAACAATACAATTAGCATGTGTTACATGTCCAGTTTAATATCTAACTCTACATTATTTTTCATATGTAGATAAAAAATAAAATCAAAGGTTAACTTGGTCTGTGCTGAATTTCAGATAAATCATTCTTCTTAGTCCTAACAAAGATAAGTTACTGTACTCTGTCAGTCTTCAAACGGCAAGAACTCACCTTGCATTTACAGTATAACCAACTTAACTATTTATGTTGCCAGTTTCCTGAAAGAGGAAAAAGTTATTATGCAACCTGTACACAAATATCAGATCACTTATATTTCAGCATGGATCCCCAAAGATACTTAAAAGTGTTTCTACAAAACCTACAAATGCTGTGAAAACAAATCTCAGCGTGTAGAGTGAGGGTGTTAAATGTTTCCCACAGGGGAATTTTTCTAGTATCATAAAAAAAATCTTTAAAAACAACAGATTGTCTTGAAATCTCACTGTCATCAAGAACTTCCAAAGCAATCAAACCTAATGCAGAAATACCAAGTGTTTTTCGGAAGAACAGCAAAAGAATACAGCTATTGTTTACATAGTTTTTTCCTGTTTTATTCTTGAGCGAAGGAGGCGAAGCTGGGAAATGTTCCCTTTCTTTCCCACACCACTCCTCACAGCTCAAACCAGGTCAAAGGTCACTGAAATGGACGCCCTTTTACTCACCTTCCCGGTGGATTTGACCCCTTTGAAGATGCACAGGTAAACTATGGCCCAGGCCAGAAGGAGGATGCCAAACAGCTCCCAGCGCATGTTCCCTGGCTTCTCAATGCCCCCAGTCTTCTCCAGTAGCCTGTAACTGAGAAGAGGCAGAGGAAAGATGAGAACTTCTCCAGCCTTGACAAACTGTGCTAAAAACGGGCAGAGTGTCTCCAGCAAGAGCTCTCCCTGGCTGGGCAGTGTACCAGTCTGCTGCTGCACCAGGGGCTCAAGTTACCTCCAGAAAAGATTGGGGTTCTGTTATTGGTTATTAAGAGTTTTGATTTTTCTTCTTCCATGTACATGCTTACACCTGTAATGAAGGTTGTGAGATAAAGAGGGCTAAAATTTTAGATTGACAAGACTTGTCCACAGCAATTTCATCACTGACCGTATCTTGCGTTTGTGTTTTTTTTTCCTGGACTATTTCACACTGAAGGGAAAAGGTGCTCAGTTCAACATTTCTCCATCAACATAGGAAGAATCTCGTGCAGCTGTTTCTTGAAGGAAACCAGGATATCCGCCTCAGCGACAAGACAGGATAGCTCATCCCAAACTCAATTCTGTCAATTCTGCTGCTGAGAAGCAAACCAGGCGCAGTGTGGAAGAGAAATACTCACTCAAAGAACTGCTGGCTGGCAGACTGGAGATGGGTAGCATTCCCTGGAAAGCCACAGGAGCAATTCTCCTGAATGTTCCAAGTATTGTTACAAGTCTGCCAAGGCAGAGGGGACTGGAAGGAGTTGAAGAGGTAATAGAGGGCCCAGGCCATGAGAACATTGTAGTAGGTGCAGAGCACAAAGGAGATGACAACTGTAGACAGTCCTACACCTGTAGAGTAACAAAGAAAAAATCAGAGACTGCTTTTTTATTATGTCTTTCCTGTGTTTTCTACCTTCTGTTTCTAATTGTGGCTTCTGTTCAAGGACAACGATCCCTCTCTCCAATATACAAGGAGTAAAGGGCTTCCAATGTAATTTGACTTTATTTTCTGTTTTTCAGGTTTCTATAACGACTCCAAGTGATTAAATATGCCCTCCAAACTTAAAGTGGACACCTGTGGCAGCCTACTGAGATGTGAATGTGCCAGCACCTGGATAACTGTGCAGTGCCGAACATTTTCAGCAGCCCCCAAACAGAACAGAGAGCACAAAAAACAACATAATACTTGACATATGGCACAGCCCTGCAATATTCCTCACAACATTCAAAATTCCCATTGAAATAATAGGGTACTGTATCTCTTCATTGAGAATGGTAAAACAGAAACAAAGTACCAGCCTAACAAGGGGCAGCAATTATTTTATCCATAAGCTCATACCTTTATCAGAAATCAGAGAATGTGTTTTAAAGCATCAAATTTGTGAAGCTTCCAGCAACTATTTTTCAACACAAAGCCTCTTATGGGCCACTATGGAGTGACTTTGGGCTACAAAAGTCCTATGTGGACCACATGGGAAAGATTCCTGACCTGTACTATACAAATTAATGAAAGCTAAACAGCTTCTGCAATTATTTTGTCCTACAGAAAGTCAAAGGACATTGTATCCATCACATCTTAACGTTGTACATTACCTTTGCGATATATAACAAAACCCAGAAGATCTGGATCTATATCTATATAGCTACACACATCAGCACAGGCTATAAACAACACAACCTCTGACTTAGCTAACAAAAACGTGTAGCTCCCAATAAGTCATCACAACGAAATATCAGAGACTAGTGGTCAAGTATGTGTCATAACTACAGCATTAAATTAGTAGCATGAAAAAATGACAAGCAGGAAGAACAAGTTATTTGGCAAAATCACTATGGCATTACAAAATGCCAATTAGCTGTGATTTAATAAGCGCATTTAGGAAGAACATAATGAGGTAGAAAACTAGTCTGCTTTTTACTCTTAAATATTTGTAGATGGGACTTCCAGAAATTAAAGGCAACAGTCATTTGGTCCTCAAAGTCCATTTGCTGAAATGAGACAGGCTTTTTGGACTCGCCCCTACATAAGTAGTTGTAAAGTAAGTCACTCAGGATGCAAAATGGGACTGCAGTCCAAATTGCAGCCTATACTTTAAGATTTATTCCTAGGAACACTGCGGCTTTGGGCATTTGGACTGAAAATGCCCATGATAATTCACTAACAGGACCTAGACCACAGGGTGAAGAGATATAGAACAAGCTGGCTATATTTAGATTCCTTTGTGCATTTCTGCCCAGGACCTTCATATAATGTTAGGAATGTGACAATCTTTCTACTCATAAAGCATCTGTGAGAAATGCAAATTGTAGCAAACACCCACAAACGTACATTAACATGAAGTCAGGATTGGATTTTCAGTTATTTGACATGCTTAAGCCCGATGGTTGTCCAGCAATGACAAAGCAGGACAGGACAATAAACACATGGATTCCTTTACTTTTCTCCAGGAGTTTTCCCACTTTTATCATTGTATTTCTTAAAGACTGAAAGCTCTATTCCATTGTTTTATTCCCTCACATCATTCATAGTTCTACCGAGATGAGATTGTAATCTTAACTTTTCATAAATTTTCCACAAAAGCAAAGACAGGGAATACAGAAAAAGATCTGGCTGTCAGTATCTAGGAATTTCCATATAATCTGAACTAAAGCATGAGTAATAGTACAAAGGCAAATCCGCAAACTAGTATCTGCTGCTATCCTTTTCTTGCTTCTTCTGTGTTTTCCATGAAGCTTGCCATTAAGAACTGGGACAGGGCTTTGTGCTTGCAAAACTGGGAGGAATAGGTAGGCTGAGGACACTGATGATATCCTGTCTGCTCCAAGGGATTCTTTCCACTCCCTGCGTGAGAGCAACAGAGTCCACTACATTAGACCGCCAATAAAAACAGTGGACTTATTTCTTTACAATCTGAACTGGTAACAGGGCTGCAAACACAGTGTATTTTAAAACAGTGACTGTGATGAATTGATAGACAGTAACTTCTAAATTGCATTTAGATGTTTTTAGCAAAGGGATATAAATGCCCTTGATAAATTACTGGATTCTTTTTTTTTACCAGTTCCTGATGCACAAAGTTCTGACAGACGGCCAAGTGATTCTGTGGAATGAAGTGTGTGGTTCCAGCTCCCTTTATAAGCACAGGAGATAGACTCTGGGAAGTAGATTAGCAGATTAATAGAAGCTATGAGATGATTATTCATTAATGCAGAAAGGAAGAATTGGCTTTTTTGTTCAATTGTGTGTGGTAATCACCTAGCTCGGTAAAACACATCTCCATGGCATGCTGGCTGCATCTTTTGTCTTCCAGTTTTGCATGGTTTGCTACTTTGTTCACTTCATCAAATACAACAACATAGTGGCCTCACTTTGTTTACTCTGTGAACTCCATACTTGCATTTCACTGTCACTATAAATTGCTGGTTTCGCACACTGATTGCTTGCACAGTTCGAATCAAAATAAAAACACCGACTGAGCTCCAATCAGCTTTGCTGTACAGAACAGATAGCCTGTAATATAGCTGTGGAGGTGTTGAATGAATTACTGAAAATCAAAAAGAAAAGAAAGCTATCACTAGGGCATAGTTTCTCCTCTGGTTTCAGATTTGCTGGTACACCATTAATGGTGCAGAGTATAACCAAAGAATCATTAAGAACTTAATTAAGAACCTTAAGATTCTTAATTTTAGGTTTCTGTTTGTTTGGATTTAAAGAAAATCTATTTCAGACTGAATGTTCTGCTGAAATAACATAAAATAATAGATCTGCTTATAGCACTCCACTGTAGGAGTGTGGAAATGGCTGCCCAGCTGTGTACATCAGCTGAAGTCGATTCTTTGGCTTCATTCAAGAAATGGCTGGATGAGATCCTGGGATTAATTAACTACTAACCACCAAACTGACTAGATGGGCCAAATGGCTGCCTCTTGTTTGTAACATTATGTACATTTTTAGAACTTATTGTGGTTGTAAAAATGAATATAGTCATCAGTATGACATTTTGTGAATTTACTGTTGTAAATAGAGTAAAAAATAACCAGAGTGGTTTCTACAGAAATGATCGTAAGACAGTATTTCCTTTCGGAAGGGGGGAGCCGAATCTTTTGGCAAGGATACCTTGACATCAGTCCAGTTTTCTGTGTGTTTATCCTGATACGGGGTAGCAGCCATGCCATGCATCAAGACTGGTTTTAAAACATGAATAAAGAGTCCCTTGAAAACTCACTGACATGTGAATGCTGCCCATATATAAGCAATCAAATCCAGTTGAACAAATGAACAATAAACTTTCAAGACATTCTAAATTTTTCACTCTGGATGAAGACACAGTTTGGCCAAGAGTCTGTGCGTGACCAAGCTTTTTCGCAAGCTTTCTGCAAGCATTTTTGCAAGAGTATCTGCTATTTTTAGCCACGTGTCGAAAGCCCTCATTGTTTGACAGAATCTCAGCAGAACCAATTGGATTTTAAAATAACTTTCCAATTTCCAGTACTTTTCCTCTGTATTGCTTCTTAATACTTAAAACATCCCAGTGACTTGAGGATTAAGAAAAAGTCTTTACTGCTCAGTATAAAGCAGACTGGACATTTTATGGTTCCATTTCATCATATGAAACGTTTGTATGAATACACATATACAGTACTGTAGGTATACAGTATTTAGACATATGCATTAATATATTTATCAGAAAGTCAAGGCAAGAGAAACAGCTTTGGTAAATATAGGAGAGGTCTCAAGGGTTAGGGGCTGATGAGAACTATCATTGCAGAGATAGCAATGGCAAATATCATGTGACACAGTACATCAAAAGAATATACAGAAACAACTACCTGCTTCAGTCCCTCGCTTAGCACTGAGCCTTAATCAAGCTCAAACGAGTGTTAAATCAAGTGACGGACCCAAAAGTTTTGATCGGGTAGACTATCTCTGTCTCAGAGGAGATAAAAAAAACTAAGGAGAAAAGTCTTCAGGTTAGAACAGGTAACAGAGCACAACGCCTCAGCCCATGAAAGACAACTGGTGATGGCTGGCTTTCCAGTTTAAGACTTAATACAAGTGAAGATGTATCAGCTCTGTGAGTCACACTTAGTCCATTTATCATTGAAGTTCATTTATATTTGGATTTCATTTATCTCTCTGCTGCATCTGCTTTTGGAAACGTCTTGTTACATTCTGTACACCCACAATTCTGTGGAACTCGGATGTTTCTAAGAACACAGTATGCAAATGAACTCTGATGTTTGAGTGACAATGGCTGTGAAAGGACATTCATTTCTCCATCCCCATTTTTGAGCATTCCATTTTTTTTTACGTTTTAAGAAAACACCGGGTTCATCGACTGCATCAGGGCAAAAAAAGAAAAGCCCAGTGTAAAAATGGACAAACAGTGTCAGCTTGTGGCAGGGGGAGTGAAATGAAAAGCTGGGAAGAAGGTCAAAGTGGACACTTTATCACTTTATCGGGAATACAAACATCTGCAAGGGTTCAGAGTGCCCACTGAGTTTAGAAAACACACATTTTACTGCAATTATCTTACTGGACTGAATGCTTATAAGCAGCTTTTGGTTTTCATCTGGGAAAATGGCTCTTTGTGGTTAAATTATAGAAAATCATGGTACATGTACCTCTTTTAGAAAAATGATGCACTTTTAGAGACCTGCTGGCCATTTCTACTAAACGTGCTTTTTGCTACAGGACCTTGCTTTAAAATGACTTTGCAACAGATGAGTAAGGTGGTTCTAAAATTACCCCTCCTTGTTACAAAGGTTATAGAGTAAGGATGCATGTATGTTTTCAAACTTAAAATATACAGATATTTTGGATATCAATTTAAGACTTTTGGCATCTTTCGATTAATATATTATTCATGAATCACTTAGATCATCTAGTGGGTTTGATGCTTCAATACAAGTGAGATGATTTAAGCTGCTGAATGTCAAGCTAAGCGAAAATCAAGACAAAAAGATGGGATGAATGTGCTGTGCTTGTCAAAACGACAATGCCTTTGTGGCATCATGTTGGAGCAACACCCCAGGCGAACGTGCCAGCAAGGGACCAGATGCTCTTACGCAATGAAGGAACGGTTAGTGTAGACAGCCCGGATGGCCAAGGCCCTGCCCCACCTCTTGTGGTTGATGGCATCCTGTCTGCACGCCACTTATTATTCAAGACCTGTGACATCACCTGCCACCTTTCCTGCAGGCTCATCCTGACATGACAGCATTCCTGGAGGACGGTATTATTCCTCATCCTGCTCTTGTAACAACAGCTAGCTTTCTTGCGAGATGAGAATGCGATAGCCTTGCTGTGGATCTCCTTCCCACCACACTTTGGGATAAACAGGCACAACCTGTGGCATATGGGGCACAGGAACCAGAGAGTACGAATAGGCACATCCTTGTCTGATTCCCACTAGACAGCATCCGCAACCTGGTGCAATGCGCTATGACAATAACATTTCAGTCAACCTTCTACAAAATGATTTTGTAAGTTTCCTGATAACTTTCTGCATTTGTTGCAGTTAAAAGTGACAAGTTTCTTTTGATTGGGAATAATGATTGCATGAGCACAGAGCAAATAGTGTTGTAGATGAATGCTATTTTTAACACAGCAGAATGAGACAGAAAAAGTGTGGGTTTCCATTGATTTATGAATTTGCGATGCCCAGAAATTATTCAGATGTTGAAAAATGGTAATGGAGGTTTGGTTTTGATTGAACTCTAGAAATCATTCCAATTATTTCAGATTATTTAATCAGATTTGTGATTATTTTACTTAATGAAAAAGAACATTAAATACATATTAATTAAAATGTTGTGGATGTACAGAATTTATAACATAATAGATCACCTAGGTGTTATTTTCTATTTTATTCAGAATATGAGGTTTAGAAGTATATCTCGAAAATAATTGATTCATTAATTTTGTAAAGTGAGTGAGTATAACTTTAATGTAATGATTAATTTTTATTTCATGTACACAGAAAAGTCTTCCAAAGCTGTTCTAAACAGTTTCACTTATAATATTATTTTGCTTACACATAATCTCTGACCTAAAACGTAAAAATTGCTTTAAAGTCTAAAATTGCATCAGAAAATGTCTAGAACATCTGTTGGAGACTGACAGAGCAGAGGGTAACTCTTTTCTGAAAACTGTCTTATTAAAATGTTTTTTTCCAAAGGCCAGCCATCAACAATTAATCAGAAATTGTTAGATCAAGTGTAAACGTGAAACCCATAATTAAATAAAATGCTAATAAACATCATACAAAATACACATTAAAACTACAGGCATGTCAATGGGAGAGCTTCAGTAAACACACATTTGGTGTTGACCATTGAAACCACAATCCAGCAAACTGGTAACAGGGTTTTACAGTTTTGTGGGGAACAAGCAACCTGAAATTTTAAAATGTCTACAAAACTTATAAAATACAAAAAAGCCAGTGATAAAGAGGAAAAAAGCAATCTTGTTTAAAAACAACATTTCTTCTTAATTAAGAAGTAACTTAATTTGTATTAAAGCCCCATCCAAAAGTGGAGAAACAATTTCATATTTTTATTTAAAAGATCCTTTATTTAACACATTTCAATGTTATTTATGTGCAGGGAATTGGGCTACATGTAAATTAATTAACAAAAGATGTAGAAAACCACTAAGGCTAAAGACTAAAGTACTGTTCCTTTAATAAAGGCAAGCGCAAGACACTGAAAAATGTTAAACGACATCCCTGCGGCTTCAGAGGACTGTTCCTAGAAAAACCTTTTGGTTTTGAAACATTTACAATATGAATAAACCACATAGTTAAGAGAGAGTAGAGGAGGCCTCTTTTGGAAACATTTGGAAAAAACTATACTGAGAGTTAAATCTTATTTGTAGGATTTTAAGGGTAAGACATTATCTTGCTTGTTTTTGGAATTCAAGGCTTTTCTTCAGTTTCATGTGCCCTCTCTTTGAAGGACCAGAGATAACTAGCGCATTTTAACTAATACAGGTCTGCACATTTCTGTGTTATCTTTTTAAAAATAACTCAGCACTGGGCTCTTCCGTGTCCCACATTAGACACTACAGGCCATTGTTTGAAAATAAAGGTGATATTCTGAGGAAAGAATACCAAGAATTTTCCAAAACAAAATTCAAGATTGATTACGTTCTTTAACCAAGAACAAGGTCATTTGGGGTTTTTTCAAAGAAGAACAAAGAAGGGCTTTTTAATGCTCTTTTTCTCCATGAAAAACCCAAAATATTTCAAATGCCTATTCCCAATGGCTTTGAAAATAAAGGGAATGGTGTACAACCTTTCCACCTCCCCCAGAATCACTGATATTGAACCTAATTTTCTCAAATCCACCCTTTAACCCAGGCTAGGATTCAACAAAACATGTTTTACATCTGTTCTCTATGAAGGTTTCTAAGTAGTACCAGTTCAAGTGTAATTGTGGTTTATAACACATTTGTATTTTTTAACCTTCTGAAATTGAATATTTTCATCCAGGCTGTTGACATAAGATGGTCTGATTACACAGATTTCTTTTAATACACTTTGACATTTGTCATTTCTATGTGAGGTCCAGCTATGCTATATTTAGTGAATTACTGAGTTAAAATATTGAAAATAACCCAAATCAACAGCACCAGTCCTAGCTAGTTTGTCTCAAGCAAATTGCGAAGGAAACACATATCAGTTAATATTGGCTCTTTGTACAATGTAGAGGAACAGCCACAATTCCTCAAATGTTTTAAAGTCAGTACCCTCTGATTATTAACATGCACATTGCACCTGACTGCACTGAAATAAAACGCCGTCACCTGTTTGCTGGGTTGTATCTAGATCTCAAGAGGATAAAAAACATGAGGTGAGAGTGTCAAGATGAAGCAGGACCCCTGTCTATTACACTGTGCAGTGCTCTTCCTCATCTTTTGCATACAGCACCTGTCAGAGGTCACTCACCTTTCAGTAGGGGGCAGACTTTTGCTAAGGCATGTACTGGCCCCAGGCGTGTATACTGCCCAATGGAAAACTCCATGAACAGCAGTGGAACACCACACAAAAACAGCATGGTAAAGTAAGGAATCATAAATGCCCCTAGGAAAAGAAATGGAACAGAATTAGCCAGGGGTGCATTATAAGAAATGTCATTAGTTTAGTCCCTAGGTTAACAAGATGGGTTTATTGTTCACAATCATAATCACAACCAGACCCTTAGAACTTCACTATTTACTTCAAAACTGCTTTATGGTTCTGAACATCTGATTTTCTGAAGAATAAGGCTAAAAATCTCCTCTTTTCTATTAGGCAACTCTAATTTCACTGTTGAGAGTGTCTTAGAATTACATAAAAAATGAAAATTGCAAGGCAATTGCAAGGTGTAAAAAAATACACCTACAAACATGAGGGGAATGTTAACTGTTCCAAGAAAACACAGCAATTTCCTGACCTTAAATGTTTGTTTATATGACTTATTTCCCATGTTGTTAATGCACAGTATAAAGTTTATATTTACATTGAGACTTGTGTGAATGTTTTGGGAGTTGTGTATCCCAATATTTCCCTGGATATGATTTCTCCCTAAGATGATTTTGT